CGACTGTTGATGACTTATAATAAGTTTTCTTAAACTCTACTAAATTTTTGTTGAAGTTCATGAATTTTATGTTTTATTGCGATTTAACGAATCTGGTTCAGGATCCTCCAGGATCTCATAGCATCCGTAGGATCCACCAGGATCTCGTCGGATCTCTGGGATCCACAAGGATCTGAGGATCCAGGATCCGCTTTTTCTCCCTTGAGGTCTACGTATGGGCGAAATTTCAAGATGAGTTCTCCTCATTCGATCTTTTGATAGAGATCTTGCCAGAGGTTAAAAATCCACAAAAATAGCCATAACTCCGAGAGAAAGGCGTATGAACCCAAATCCTTTTAAGATCATCATAGTCTAGGTACCCTCTGTATGTTCCTAAAGTATGGGCCTAAAGCGGTTAATCATTTCGGGTACCTCCCTCGTCAGATCATCATACACTTCAGTCCACATCAGTCGTGATCGTCATTGTGACGCAATTTCTTACACGGTTTTGGAAGGTCTCAAAGAAAGGTTTAAACAGAGCAGGACGGGAAAAAGAGTATGAGAGCTACTTGATATGTCGCGGTGAGACATAGTTTGAGAGTTATGTATATGACAGACAGAATAGTGTTGAAAATGAAAGCATAAACTGGAATCTCTTTGAAGGGTGTATCTTCGATAGTTACAGTATAGTTATGTACTTCTAAACGTTTGATCTTAGATAATATATCCAAGCGAATCGTGAATCTTTCCGACGAAATATGTTAGATTCTTTGATAACTGAATTTGATTGATCTCAGTTGAATATTTAACATTTTTGTACTTGTTTAAAACTGTTATAATCAATTGACAATGACGTTTTTGCCGAAAATTTTGTTCTGCTCTATGATGATAAGTTTTAATGTGAATTCATACCCAATCAATTTTGAACTGACTGAATGGACAAACATTGATAAAACTAATACAGACTTACAACATGATTGTCTTTATGTTTTAATGTCGATTCAGCCTCAAATAACGCTTTACTATCTGCAGTACATTCCTATTCTCCGAAATTTCCGTCAAATGACATCATTATGTTTAAGTGAATGGCCATCCACATGGAAGATTCAGGAAAATACACGAGATCAAAAACTTACTTTTTCTCAACTGGCTGAATTGAATATAACCAGTCAGCAATTATATCATTGGTCAGCACCAATAGATATTATTGAGTCTTACCAATCCTATTTGAATCAACTATTAACTTCAAACAATATTTCTTTATCAACGAAAGTTTTTTATAATTGTACATCACCAAGATTTGGTCCAAAGTGGCAATATTTATTTCCTTTTCGAACAACGTCAAAACTGACATCAGTATACGAGCTAATTCAGGGTTTCTATTTAGAACGAACTTATCAAACAGACGCACTATCATGTTATAGTCATTTAAATTGTCGTTTTGGTTCAGTATTGCTATGCCTTGATTGGAATCAAATTTGTGATGGTTTCATTCAGTGTAACAACGGAGTTGATGAGCAAGACTGCTGGCAAATGGAAACGAATCAATGTAAAGAAAACGAATATCGATGTCGAAATGGTCAGTGTATATCCTCAGTGTTTCTTGATGACAATGCTTTTGCTATTGAATGTCTTGATCAATCAGATACAAAAGTGAAGTTATATTGGGATACAGGTCTACGAGAATTGTATGACCCTCAGCGACCACTATTCATCAATGAGGAAGTGCTTATTTACAATGGCACTGGTCATTTTGGTCCATTTTATAGACATCGCGACCGCAGGTATAATTTTATTTATCATATGACATCACAACCCGATAAATCAATGTTACGCACATGCTGGTTACCACTTTACTGTTATCTTAAATTTTTGGGCCCTTTGGAACATAGTTGTAGAAGTATCTGTTCAAAAGAACACTGCCAGAAACGAATTAATGAAAGTTG